GGGAGACAGGAGATGGCCATCTACTTTTCCTTGTGTATTCCAGCAATTAAATATTTCTTGATGATCATAATTGTTGTTTGCTGTTATTTGGTCTCTAAGTTATGCCCCACTCTTTTGTGACTCCATGGACTGTAGCCCATCGGGCTCCTCTACCCATGGGATTTCCAAGACAAGAATACAGGCATGGGTTGCCATGTCCTTCTCCCAAGGATTGAACCCACGTCTCCTGCACTGACAGATTCTTTACCACTGAGCCACCAGGGAAGCTCCAACTGATAAAATAATTAATGCTAATATTGTCAATGCCATCGACTATAATTTCAGGTTGCTCCTAAAACTTATGGTTAAAAAAATTTAATGCACAACTTTAGAAACTCTTGCTCTAGCATCTAGCTGATAACAGAGTAATAGCTTACACTACATGACATACCTTAACCGAAGGCAAAGATCTTATAATAAATTCCCATATGATGCAAAAGTGCCTAATAATATTAAATGAAGTCTAGAACTTATTTATAAAACCACTATATTTTTACCACAGATTTGGTGAAGTCAAAATCTCCAACAATTCCATGTTGACGGTTTAAAGCAAAAACATTGTTCTGATGAAGTGATCCATGAATTATATCAGCCTTGTGCAATGTATGAAGACCCTGGGCTACACCTTTCATGACCTTTAAAGCTTCCTATAGATAACACAAAAAGAAGTCAGGAAGTAGACAAATCATTTTAATAAATGAACCTTTTCTCTACTTAAAAGACTTTTTCAGAAGTGGCTAAGCTTCCTCAAAATGAACCTTTAAAAACAATACAGCACAGAGAAAGAATTAAAGGCCAGAAGTCCTGATTATGTAACTGGTAATATCATGTAAACATATATATCACATATGTGTGTGTATATATATGTTTAATATGACTTAGAGACTATAGTCTCTAAGAAGACTTGAATTACAAACATTGACCATAGACCATCTAGAAAAGAAAAGAGGCTGAAAGAGTGTTACTGGGCAGAAAGAATCAGGTCATTGTTTACTGTTATTACCAATTCAAATTTACAACAGAAATGAAAGCTACTGCTTAAGACCAAGAGCTATACTATACAATTTACATACAACGCAGCCTAATAGTTATAAGGATTATGCTTTGGTGCCAAAAAGTTCCAACCCCAAGTCCTAGCTCAGCCTCTGGATGAGAAACCCTGTACCAGTCACTTTAATCTCTGTAAGCCTCACTTTTCTAATCTGTATATAATGGGATAACTCATATCCCAGGGGTGATGTGACAATTAAATAATCAAAACTGTACATTGAAAGTGCGCAGCGTACCCTCAACAAACTTTAGGTGATACTTTCTCACTAGACACATCTATGGAAATAATGTGGTTTTTTTTTTTTACTTACTTCTGAAGTTAAAGGCATGCTGGACTGAACAGCATTCAGACTTGCCCTAGGATAATATGGGACCATCAGATAAGCCATAGGATCAGACTAAGAAGCAAAACAGGAAATGAGAATCTAAGTGAAAAATTCTTCAATACATCTTCAGTATACAATGATTGTACAAAGTAATTTTTCCACAAAGAATTACTACTCTGCTGTGCAAAATCTTTTAAATTTAATTAGGCCTCAATTGTTCACTTTTGCTTTTTTCTTTTGCTTGGGAGACTGATACAAGAAAACACTGCTAACAATTTATGTCAAAGAGTGTTTCATATATGTTCTTTTCTAGGAGCTCTATGGTTTCGTGTCTTACATTTAGGTATTAAACTATTTTGAGTTTATTTTTGTATATGGTGTGAAAGAATGCTATAATTTCATTGTTTCATATGTCACTATCCAGCTTTCCCAGCACCACTTGTTGAAAAGACTATCTAAATAAACTTAAAAGCTTTGCACAGCAAAGAATCCATCAACAAAATGAAGAAAACCTATGGAATGGGAGAAAATATTAAAAAAATGATGTGACTAACAAGTAGTTCACATCGAAAATATACAAACAGTTCATACAACTTGATATTAAAAATGAAAATAAGCAGAAGAATATATATGTTTCCAAAGAAGACATATAGATGGCTAACAGGCACAGGGAAAGATGTTCAATATCACTAATTATTAGAGAAGTGCAAATCAAAACCACAATGAGCCAGCTATCACCTAACAGCTATCAGAAGGGCTATCATCAAAAAAAATCTACAAATAACAAATTTTGGAGAAGATATGGAGAAAAGGGAGCCCTTACATTTTTGGTGGTAATGTAAACTGGTACAGCCACTAAGGAAAACAGATGGAGTTCCTTAAAAAACTAAAAACAGATCCACCATACAATCCAGAAATTCTACTTCTGGGTATATATCCATAAAACAGTAACAGCAACAACAAAAATCCTAAAGATATATACACTTCAGTGTTCAAAACAGCACTATTTACAGTGGTCAAGACATGGATGTAACCCAAATGTCCATTTACAAATGAGTGAATTAAGAAGATGTGGTATATACAATGGGATATACATTGCCATTTGCCGCAACGTGGATGGACCTAGAGCATATTATGCTTAGTGAAATAACTCAGAGAAAGACAAATATTATATGGTATTATTTATATATGGAATATAAAAAATAATACAAATGAATATATATACAAAACAGAACCAGACTCACAGACATAAAAAACAAACTGTGGTTACCAAACAGGAGATGGAAAGTGCAAGGGACATATGAGGGGAATGGGATTAATAGATACAAACTATTATATATAAAATAGATAAGCAAAAAAGATTTTCTATGTAATACAGGGAATTATACCCATTATCTTACAATGGAATATAATCTGCAAAAATACTGTGCTATGCTGTATACCTGAAATTAACACAAAATTGTAAATCAACTGTATATTCAATTAAAAAATTAAAAGGAATTACTTCTGTAAAGCTTGTAACTAAAACATTTTAAATAAAATATTTTCTGAAAGAGATTAGCATAAAAATTTTACCTTACACAAAAATAAGAATATCAGTGGTAGCAACCCAGATTCTCCTTTAGCTTCTCTCCAAGCTCTGTGATAGGCGGCTGCTCTCTGAATTACCCTGGCTTCCGTGTCGACATCCACAGAATAGCCCTTTTACCCCAAAAAAAGGAAGTGGAAGTCCTAAGATTAAAATCTCACTCTAATTATATATCATTTCAACTTAAATTTTATGTAAGTTAAAATACATCTAAATTTATTTTTTAATTGCATGAGTAGTTTTCCTATCTGCTTTAAATGATATAATTTTAAAAAGAAAAGAACAATTCTATCAGTAGCTTAAAATATAGTCTACAATATATACCCACTAAGGCCAAATTAACCATCCAACTATTATGATTAACAGTTTTGCAGGTCAATGAAGAGAAGAAATCAAAGAATAAGAGACTGTGTTGGCAAAATAGTTGAGATTTCAAATAGAAACATAAGAAAAATAAGAACTTTGAAGGGCTCTTAGCTAGATTATATTAAGTTCTCCTGAAAAAAGAAAAGCAAGTATATCCTATTAAAAACATATATTATTTAGGGAAATGAGGGAAACTTTAAATACAAGGTAGTTATGGCAACCAAACTGGAAACATAATCATACCAGCTAATTCATATAATTTAGAAAATAAACAGTGGGTCTTTACTTTCCTATAAAAGTACCACCACCACAAGGTACTTCTCTGAATCTTCCACAAGTCCAGAGAACTTAAACTTACCTTTAAAAGAATTATCTGCCCGTTAACCTCAGAACGAATCAAAGGACGCTTGCTGCTAAGCTCCTTCATAGGCTCAGAATCAAGAAGATCTCTTTCCAAGCTCATTGTAAGAAGACCACCAGAGTTCTAAGAACAAGTTTTTGTTACAGTTCAAGAAACCAAACAACCACAGCACTTTCAAATAACAAAATTACTTACATACCATCAGATGGACTGGATATCATGAACTCTACTGCAGACACCAATGAAATAAAAATATTTCAAGTTTTATATTTTTTCTGTTTCCTGGCACTTGAATTCCCACCCAGAATGTAATCACCATACACTTAATCATGCTACACCTCTATAAGAGATTCTGAAAATGACTGGGATGAACCCTGCTTCCAAGGACCCCTGATGTTTACTTGGGAAACTTAACGTGTTTCCTAAAAAATATTAAAATGATGAAAAATAAAAAGGCTGCAGAATGGGAATGAGAAGTTCAAAAATTAAGACTAACATAGTTCTAGGAACTAACAGAGTTCTAACACCCCTGCCTGTTTGAAATGGAATCCTCAAAATTGAAAATTTCTTTCAAATAATTTAATTCTACTCTGTATTCCTGTATACTGTATTCTGTATACTTTTTAAAAGGAATAACTTTTTGCACTAAAACATGACTATCGACATTTTAAATCAAGCTGAGATTTACTGTGGTATAGTCTTATTAATAGTAACAGGGACTGTGAAATTATTTTTTTTTAAGTGTTGTAACCGTATTTAAGTAATCCACAATATATAATCAACCTACAGGGGATTTCCTAAAGCACATATCACAGGAAAACACCTTAAAATAATTAAGGGTATCCATAAGCCATGATTCTACCTTTTCATAATCTTTCACGATAAAACAGATTAGCGTATTTTTGAAATTAATTTTCAAGCCCCATATGGTATCACATACTTATTCATGCATCCTGCATAAAATAGTCTCTAAGCAAAATTAAATAATTGCAAGAAAAATCTCACATTATTTTAAAGTCTAGTCTGAAAAGATTATTCAGTAATTGCTTTAACAGTTTACAGGAATTTAATCTTATATATTTATCAGTTCAGACATCTATGTGAACATTCCTTTAGGTACTATATTTAAACTATTATCATGAACTTAAAGACAATGTTAAAGAATAAACATCTCCTCTAGACCCTCATGGGCAGCAGACAAAATAATAAAACACAGAGTTAACAGACTCTGCTCTGAGAGCCAGAGTTAACCAATCCTGCTCCACAGTGTCCTATCTAACATACTGATCTAGCTTTGAAGCCTGACTGCCTAGAAAATCATACTCACATGAACGTATCTACCTTAACTTCTACCTCAACTTCTCCAGGATAATTTTTCCAGCCTGCTTTAAAAAATGCATTCTGTTTATAAATTCTTCATGACTATCAGTCCTGCTTTTATTCTAACTCTTAGAACAGGAGGTAAAATTGCTTTATCATTTCAAAAAATAAACACCTTTAATTCAAATAAGTGCCATGCAAAATGTTTTCTCTTTAGTCAAGAGAAGAGAAAATACAGAAAACATGCAAATTGATATAAAAATTAGAATACAGTATGCAAGTATGAAAGACAGTCTTGAGAAAGTCCTAACAATACTAAAAATCATTCAGCAGAAACATTTTTATAGTGAAAATATTATAGATTTAACATTGACACATAATTGTAACATCATCACTTTTCAGCATTCTGCATAGTAGTAATTCTCAAAGGAAACAAAGCTTACCATGTACTTAAGTAATCCTATTTCAGGATGAAGTAGAGGAAGCTCAGGGAACCATTTTTGTACTAAGCTACTCAACTTCGCCTAAATTTTAAAAATAAATTTTTTTATTATAGATAAATGTATATTCAACTGTATATCCTGGTACCTCCCTTACTAAACATCTAACAAGATGTCTTATCTAATAATATATAACCTCATAAGACATAAAATCACTGATTTTGCCTTCTACTACAATAAATGAAAACCAAGCTTCAACTTTGAACTAAATTAGCCATCTTACTAACAGAAGAAAAAGTTAATTACAAATTTTAAGCTTGGCTTACATATACAGGCACAAAATCTTGCCTAAGGTCAAAGTCCACACTCACTTCCAAGCTAAAATGAAAAAATGTGATGAAAAATCAACTGGAATCATAAATTGTCACTCAAAATATAAGAACACAGTAACATTTTAAAATACTGGCTATTTCATTTAGGAAAAAAATAAATCATAAAAGCCTGGAAAGAAAAAAATAAATATGGAGCTCCACAAAAGCTACTTTGAAGCAAATGTGTCAACTGAATATCCTTAGAAAAGTCACTTATCACATGTTTTAGTCAGTAAAATTTCCAGACATTTATTAAGTTCACGGGAGACAGTTATTTTATACAAGATTCACAAGGTGAATAATGAAGTACACATAGTAAGTTTGCTACATTTAATAAAGTGCCTATTATTTTCATAGTACTTTTATTCTTCAGAGCACTGTTTCTTACCTTCCTTTTCTTCCCATAACATCCCTAAAATATAAAATGCAATACTGTTTCCATTTTAAAGACAAGATATGCTGACTGATGCTTCCAAAGTTAACAAAAATCAGTGGTAAAACTTACCCTCAACTCAGTAGTTTTATTTTGTAAAACTCAACTAAATTACGGTGCCCTGTTAATGTTTTCACTGCAGTTTTAAGCTAAAATAATAATCATATAGATTTTAATAAAGGAAAAATCTTTGGGCTTTATGTTAAACAGAAAACAAGTAGTGTGCAAAATTGTCTGTGATATAACCTTGATTCTTGTAAAAATAAGACTAAAAGGAAGATAAGTCAAAAGTTTAATGTAATGATACTACTGTTTGGCAACCTACTCCAGTATTCTTGCCTGGAGAATCCCATGGAGAGAGAAGCCTGGTTAGGCTACAGTCCACGGGGTTGCAAAGAGTCGGACACGACTGGGCGACTTCACTCACTCACCACCGACTGAGAAAGTTACAGATGATATTTCTTTATACTTTTCTGCAATTTTCACATCTGGAACAACGGTTATGAAATATTTTGTCATCAGAAATTGATATCTAAGTTCACATAAATATTATTCTATCAACAGTTAGTTGCATATTTGTGTCTGACTCTTTGCGACACCATGGACTACAGACTGCCAGGATCCTCTGTCCAAGGAATTCTCCAGGCAAGACTACCAGAGTGGATAGTCAAGCCCTTCTCCAAGGGATCTTCCCAACACAGGGATCAAACCCGCATCTCCTGCATTGCAGGCAAATTACCACCTGACCCACCAGGGAAGCCCCCATACCAACATAACTATGCCAATAAAACCTCTAGCCTTGTGATTACAGTCCACTTCATAAAAACAGATATTGGAATACAATTTTTAGAGTTAAAACTAATTCAACATTTCAAAGAATCAAATACTTACATATTCCTCCTGCTCATGATAAATTCTCTGAAAGACACTATTCCGTAACTGAGTTATTTCTTGTTTTATTTTTTCAATCTCAGATCCATCATGGTCATCAGACTTTAACCAGAAAGAAAAAAGTGACTTTACAGGCTTATTAAAGTAGACTGAAAACAAGTTCTTCCTAGTAAGAATTAATGCAACTTCTATGGCAAATCACTGTCTGATTTTTATGTATCCTTCCATATCTAGCACTTAACATTTCCTCATAATTGTCGAATTAATATTAGTTTATTCTAACCCTGAATTTTCCAAAACCTACAAAAAGGGATTATAAAAATAAAGCCATAAGTCTATTACATAGATTTTTCTTATCTCTTAATTTGCTGTAAATTTTCTCTAAGATGACCAACTGCCACTTTAAAATAAATATCAAGAATAGGAACCAGAATACAATTAAATTCCATGAATCTCTCCATGTAAGACTTGACTTTAAAGAATCAGTAAACATGTGGCATGCCTACTACAGGAAAAACAATGTAGGACTCATAAAGACTCTGTAAACACTAATGATAATAAGTCTCCTTAGAAAGTACATGTCTTTAAGGTTAGATGTATTTCTGTAACAGTTAAAAAATTCAACTAAAAAAGACCTCACGTCCTACAGCCCAGAATAGGATAAAACCAGAAAAATTTTAAACTATTAAATTAGTTCCACTCCATGCTTAACTGCTCCAATGAGGAAGAAAGCTAATTCAAGTTGCATTAAGATATAATGTAAACCCCTTTGATAAGTAAATGGAATTTATTCACAAAGTTTCAAGCCTAAAGGCTAAAAGTGTCCTAATTCTTCTTGTTCTATTACATGTGTAAACATTTAAAATATCTGCAAGAAATACTACATCCAGCCATTAAAAAGAGAGTTAACAAAAGATATCCTGATCTTTATGACAAAATCCTACCTTTAGGGGAGCACCCTGTCACCTCTCAGCATGTAACAGGCTTGTTTTTAGTAGACATTGTAACAGTCCAAGTGAAAAGTTTTTTAAATTACTCAAAAACGTTTATGTTACTAACAACCAAAGCAACCTTGTAAAATGTTTTTAGAAAACATTCCATGACATAAAAAATGCTTTACATTATTAACGTAGTAACTTACAAATACAGACGGAAAAAGAGAGAAAATATATAAAACAAAAAATGAATAATTTTAAAGAGTGTATTTAAGAAGCAGACCCCAAGTAAAATTAGGTACACACAGAGTTCATTAAGAACCAACTGTTTTCTTACTTCTTCCAAATTATTCTTTTCAACCAATTTCCATCTCAGTCGAGCCTTTAAGCTTTTCAGTGTCTTTTTAATGGAGAGCAAGTGATCCACGCTGGGGCTCTTATTTAAACATTCAATAATCTGTTTCTTAAACTAAGTGAGAGAAAGAGTTGTTATATTTTCAACACACAAACAGTAATATTTATTGAACAGTCACCTGACCACTCTCTCTATTAAGATTAATATTTACTGAGCTCAGATTGAAATAAAAAATTCTACAATTTTCAAGAAGACAGTTCTACCCACTGACTTCTTGATTTTCTGCATATCTATTTAAAAGAATATCATTCTAGCAATCAAAGGAGCAAAGGTAAAAAATATTTCAAGCTGGACATACAGTGAGACACACTTTGCCACAGAAAATACAAAAGGGAATTTCCAGTGAGGGTGTAAACTGAATTTATCTTTTTCAAAAGTAGTTTGACAATATATATCAAGTTTCAAGAATATTCATTCCTTTTGAATAAGTAATTAATGATTTTTAGGAATCTACTTGAGGAAATACACAAGATTATGTACAAAAACTACATACAGTTTCAAGGTAAAAAAAAATGGAAGTAAACTTAATATCTAACACAGATGAAAGGCTAAATAACATCATATATCTATGCAAGAGATGATGTTTAATTCACTCACAATCACAGTTTAAAGAACTTCAAAACTATTTTTATTAACAACCATGTCTAAAATCAAGCCTGACAAAACCATCTAAATAAGGACAACTTGACAGTTGATGGTGGGGAAATACAGTAATGCATATGTATTTTTTTAATGTCACTTTGTATAAAATTACAAAGGGAAAAGAGAAACAAGGAAAATAAAGAACATAATCAACCAAAATAAACAATATAAACAAAATAAAGAACATAACCAATTTAGTAAGCAACCTAAAAAGCTGGTTAGGAGTCCCAGTGAGCAGTATTAACATTACAAAATACACTAATTTTTAGCTTTACACAGAATATATAGAGTACAGAAAGAGAGCTACTAATCAATCTTGTGTATTCACTTCCAAAAGGTCTCTCAGATTTTATTTCAAGTTTTTACAAACTCTGAAGTCTTATCTTGTGGTTACGGGGTATGACAGACTTAAGAATTAAGTGCTATTGAAATCTGACAGAATCAGATTAACCTAAGAGTTGTTTTCCTAGAATTAAACATTAGATTTTTTTTTTCTTGATGTGAAATATCCTACTAAAATGAAAATATTACCCTGTGGAAGAATAAAACTTCTCATTGTGTTTGGATTAGAACTTGGCAGTATTAGTATTTCAGACAGGCTTTTACAAGGAAAGCTAAGTCTACCTAGTTAAAAAAAACACTTAGCTTTAAGGAATATCAGTACTCACAATCTGAGATATCTCCAGCTCCTTGCAGACACCTGACTCGGTATTCTCCAGGATTTCATCAATATTATCAATTGTGTCATCAGAAATCAGTGATTCTTCCCCAGACAGATCAAACGCCTCATTTGTAAAAATAAAAACATGAATTATCTCATTTAATTATTTCAATTAGTATGATATCCTTATACTTGGAGCAGAGCATTAGCCTATGTATTGCATAATGTGGGGGAAATAAACATAAGAAATATAAAGCACTACCTTCAAAAACCTTATGCATGGGAAAAGAAAAGGTACACACACCTTACACACTTAAAGAAAACACAGACTTTGTTAAAGTAATTAGTGGTTAAGAGACATGAGAGGACAATACAGAGGAAAAGTATGAGAAAAAAACAGGGACAAGACCAAGATGTTTTGAGGGAATAATTAAAAGAGACTGTCCAACTAAAAACTGGTAAAGAACGTTGACTGCTCAGGTGGCAAGTTCAAACTGGACAGATGGTAGGTAGACAAAACCAGCCTTTATACAAAGGAATGGGTATGATTATACCTGATATTTAATGATGACCCACTAGTATTGAGGAATCTAAAGAATAAAAGTTAAAAATTAAACTCTGACAGTTTTCATCTCATTAAGAAAACTAAGGTAATTCCTATCAGGAAACAGGCTTTATAATAAGGTACAAAATAGAATAAAATCATGAGTCAAAATTATAATATAGAACATAATGGTCATAAGCAGTCACTCTGATTTCAGAGGTTCAAATTTATGATTATGGAGGTCTAGATTTGGGAAACAGCAATGGAAATGAACAATAACAGACAACCTAAACAGAAGGATGATTCTGAAACAAAAGAAGACAAAGAAATAACTTAGTTAATGTTAATGAATCCAAAAGAAAGCATCAAAAAAGAAGAATTCTAGAAGTAGCTGGAGATTAAAAGCTTTTTTTTTCCAAAACAAAGCCAGAAATGCATATTTGGAAACCAATCACACAGAGAGATACATGAGACCACAGGTGTCTTTGTCCTTGCTCAGGAGGTTGCAAAGCAGACAGAATAACAGAGAATCAGTAACAAAATTAGGCCAAAATTCAGTTAGGGTTCTGAGTACATTATACAAACCCATGCCTCAAAGCCTTTTAGAAAATTATGTAGTGTTTTCACAATAATAAATAGGAACTAAAAAAACTGTAAGCCATCTTTTCTAATATTTAATAACGAGACTAATATTTCCCATTTTAGGTATCTTTAAGACATTTAAGATCATTAAAATCTGAATGACTTAAACACTGCCAAACATTTTAACCATGACTAGCCAACTAATGTTAAAACACATATATCTTTCTAAAAAAGAAACCAAAAAGAGAAAAGCTCTATCTTCTAAAGCACATACCGTTATCGCTACACTATAGGTGTAAAATAAACACTTCAGTTGTAATAAACTCCATATATTATCTTACACCTGTTGCTTGACTGAAATTGTTTTCATATACATCCTAAACAGAGAATGTAAATATGTAAATACCTCACTCTTCTATCCCAGCATTCTCAATTTTTTCTCTTTTTTTCTCTCTCTCTCCCCCTCCCCTCCCTTGCTCTCAGAAAAAAGTAAATTACATGTGGAAAATTTAAAAACATATATTCCCTGGTTTATGCTACAACATCACCAGGCAACAGAACTCCTGTTACCTTTAAAGTACTCTGGAACCATGCTACAAGACGTTGTATACAAGTCTCTGTTTCACTTCTAACACTGGTGAACTCCTCTCTTTTATTACACCTCCAGTCATTAAATTTATCCAGTATTTCTTCAGAGTTAATTCCTTCTTTGGCCTGTCCATATACTGCTTCTAAAGAGGCTGACAAATCCTGCAGAGAGATACTTCTGTTTATTAAAGTTAATTAACTTTATATTAAGAGTAAATAAAGCACCATATTAGAATCTGAAAGACAGTGAAGTGATATATTGAATCCCTATCTTCGAGAAGTTTATAAATAAAACTTTGAATATCTAAACATAAAAGCATAAAACTACCTAGAAGGTGATTTATTTGGATTATAATAGTAAAAGTCCATTAAATGAATTAAGGTTATAAACAGAAGGCTTTACAGTCTTAGGTTTTTAATTAAGTAGAAAGTATCCTCTTTTCTCTGACTTTACATAAGAATCTATTTTGTCCTGATATGGAAGTTTCTAAGGGCTACTGCTAAGTAAAAATAAACACACCAAATTGTACAAATAATTCCAATTAAGGAAAGACATTAAGCACAGATATCTAGACAGCATATTAAAAAGTAGAGACATCACTTTGACAACAAAGGTCCATATACTTTTGATCTTCCCAGTAGTCATGTATGGATGTGAGAGCTGGACAATAAAAAAGGCTGAGCACTGAAGAATTGATGCTTTCAAACTATAGTGTTGTAGAAGACTCTTGAGTGTCCCTTGGATGCAAACAGATCAAACCAGTCAATCCTAAAGGAAATCAATCCTGAACATTCACTGGAAGGACTGATGCTCAAGCTTAAGCTCCAATACTTTGGCCACCTGACACGAAGAGCCAACTCATTGGAAATGACCCTGATGCTGGGAAAGACTGAAGGCAGGAGGAGAAGGGGGCAACAGAGGATGAAGTGATTGGATGGCATTATCGACTCAATGGACATGAATTCGAGCCAACTCTGGGAAACAGTGAAGGACAAGGAAGACTGGCATACTGCAGTCCATAGGGTCGCAACGAGCTGTACATGACCGAACTACTGAACAAGAATATACATTTAAAAGCAGTTTTAGAAAGGACTGGAAGAGACAAGAGAGCCTGATGGCTCCCTCCAGGACTAAGACCTGAGAAACATCAGAGAGACAAGAGGAAAACTTAATAGATCCAGAAAATTTTATCACAAAACTGAAAAACCCTTAGAAAGAAAGAAGATGGTTGGTATTTAGCACTGAATGAATACAATCACTGCAAGTAGGAGACAGCCTGTACCACAGCAGAGAATCATCTTCTGGGAAAGACTGAAGGCAGGAGGAGAAGGGGGCAACAGAGGATGAAGTGATTGGATGGCATTATCGACTCAATGGACATGAATTCGAGCCAACTTTGGGAAACAGTGAAGGACAAGGAAGACTGGCATACTGTAGTCCATAGGGTCACAAAGAGCTGTACATGACCGAACTACTGAACAAGAATATACATTTAAAAGCAGTTTTAGAAAGGATTGGAAGAGACAAGAGAGCCTGATGGCTCCCTCCAGGGCTAAGACCTGAGAAACATCAGAGAGACAAGAGGAAAACTTAATAGATCCAGAAAATTTTATCACAAAACTGAAAAACCCTTAGAAAGAAAGAAGATGGTTGGTATTTAGCACTGAATGAATACAATCACTGCAAGTAGGAGACAGCCTGTACCACAGCAGAGAATCATCTTGAGAAAAGAGAAATTTTCTTCATATGTTCTTCTCTCTTCCTCAGACTGGGCAAGAAAGCAGCAGCACAAACAAGAGGCAATGGGTTTATACAAGCACAGTACAGAAAACTAGATGAGGCAAAAAGTGATAACCAGGACAGAAGAGTTGGCCAAGCATTCCTCCCCTTCCCCTGAATACCCAGCAGCATTTACACCTAAGGGTAGCAGCCCCTGGAAAAGAGGAAAGGCTGATGGAGAGGGACTGAGATGTCCACTGAAGAGTAAGATTATCTAGAGCAGAAGCCAATAAGTAGTAGTTGAGCCCAGACTGCAACCCTGTAAGTTCTGAGAAGCAAGCCTATCCTATTCCCTAAATCCACCTGCAGTCTCCAAAGTTATGGTCCAAGCTTTCACTCTTCCCAAGGTCCCTCTCCCACACTAACACATACGCACATAACAGCACACCAAGACAGTTGATAATTCTTCAAGAGAATGTGCAGTCCTGAGGAGAAGTACTGTGTCAACAATGCAAGTACTCTGAAAGAAATACAACAAACTAAGCCACCTTATAAAAAGGAAGCAAAATCAATGGCCCAGATCATAGTAAGAACTCAAAATAAGCATAACAAATCTTCTCAAAAATAGAAAGAATATTGGAAACATAAAGCAAGACCAAGTAATTATAAATAATAACCAACTGAAATTATTAAGCATGAAAGAAATAATTTTTGAAATAAAGAACACAATGGTTTGGTTAAATGGCAGAAGAAATACAGCAAAGAATCAATTAGTGACTATTGATTAGGACAGAAATAAGACTCATATCAACAACTACAGAAATAAGAAAACAATGAATTATTATTGTTAAAAATCTTAAGAGAAAATGGCCTTTGGATCTAAGATATTTTATAGTTCATTAAATAACTATTGAAAAGAATTTAAATGTAAGCAACTGCTTAAATATTTGAATTGTTTAAATATGGTATCTTGAGACATTTAATACCTCACAAAATCAACCACTCAAACCCTGCTTTAAAGGACTCTCAGAGAGTACTCTAAAATACAGAGTGAACCAAAAGATATCCAACAATTTATGAAGTAAGAATCAGAAAATAACTCAACTCTACAAAGTTTATTACTTGAGTTATCATATACAATACCTGTAACAATCTGTGAGTAAAATCGTAGACAACAATTGTGGTTGTTTGGTTAGCTGGTATTTGGGAGAGAGATACAGACAGACAAGACCCACCAGAGGCAAGTGAGAATGTTCTAAGGTATAAAGGGAAGAGGGTAGAAAAGGAGGAAAAAAAAATAAATCATGATAAACAGAAACACAAAAATGATCACAGAAATAAGTTCTAATAAAATAGTAATTATATATAAACCAACTAGGTTACCCATTAAAAGGCAGATTTAAATGTTTGATTCCTTTAAAAAAAGATTCACTGGAGTGTTGTCTAAGAGAGACATATAAAATAAAAGTAAGAGGAAAAGAAACTATATATAAAGCAAATATTAACCAGAAAGACAAGTAGGATAAGAATTTTAAAAGGAAACAAAAATAAAATTTTATCCCAAAGCATCTTAAAGGAAAACTATTATTACCTAATAGTTTAAAAATACACAGTTTAAAATACATAACAATCATGAATTCATTAACACTTAACAATAAGCTCTGAAATATTTTGAAAAATTAAAGAAAACTAGAATATATATTAACTAGAAAATATTAAAAAAAATATCAAAACTTACAAAATGATCAGGTAAAAAACTAAGCAAAGATACAGAAGATTAAAGTTTCAGATCATAGATTAAGCTGTAGATCAGAAACTGCACACAAAAAACCCAGAATATATTTTCTTTCTGAATTTATAAAAACAGTCATAAAACATTAACCGTGTATTGTAGGCCACAAAATAAGCCTCAATAAATGCTAATGAAATCAAATATCGTGACATTTCACTTTTTTGATCTTCATTATAAAAGTATAAGTTATATTGCTTAATTACTTGAAGAAAATAAATAAAAATCTAACCATTTTTCAGCAAAGTAAAGAGAAATTTAAGAATAATCTGGTGACAGAAGGGAATAGTAGAAAGGGAGACAAACCAGACTTGGCATAAAGTCTTTTAAGATTAAACTTTAAAAAGACGAGAGTCNAAAGATCATGGCATCCAGTCCCATCACTTCATGGCAAATAGATGGGGAAACAGTGGAAACAGTGTCAGACTTTATTTTTTTGGGCTCCCAAATCACTGCAGATGGTGACTGCAGCCATGAAATTAAAAGACGCTTGCTCCTTGGAAGAAAAGCTTTGACAAACCTAGACAGCATATTAAAAAGTAGAGACATTACTTTGCCAACAAAGATCAGGTCCATATAGTCAAAGCTGTGGTTTTTATCAGTAGTAATGTACAGATATGTGATCTGGACAATAAAAAAGGCTGAGCACTGAAGAACTGATGCCTTCAAACTGTGGTGCTGGAGAAGACTCAATCTTGAAAGTCCCCTGGATAGCAACGAGAGCAAAGCAATCAATCCTAAAAGAAACTGGTCCTGAATATTCATTGGAAGGACTGATGCTGAAGCTGAAGCTCCAATACTCTGGCCACCTGATGCAAAGAGACAACTCATTAGAAAAGACCCTGATGCTAGGAAAGACTGAAGGCAGGAGGAGAAGGGGATGACAGAGGATGAGATGGCTGATGGCATTACCGACTCAATGGATATGAGTTTGAGCAAACTCCAGGAGATAGTGAAGGAAAGGGAAGCCTGGCATGCTGCAGTCCATGAGGTCACAGTCAGACACGACTGAGTGACTGAACAACATCTTCAACCAGGTGGACAGAAAGACACAAGTGCTCAGGTGTCCCTTAATAACCTTTTCTCCAGTTTTCCAGCAAGCTTATTCCTTCCCTACAGTCCAAAACAAGATAGCTAGTATTCAGCTTGGTATTAAAGATACTGTCAAAAGCAGTAAAAACTCAAAGATACATAAAATGTAGGAGTAGAAGAGGGTTATTCCATTCAAATGATATAATCACATAGAAACCTCAAAAAGTCTCAATTGAAAAAACTAAAAAAGAGTTCAGCAGAGTTGCCAGAAAAGTGTCAATATATAAAAATCATTAGTTTCCTTCTATACCATCAAAAGAACAAGGGAATTGAAAGTAAGATAGCATTCACAAAAGGAAGTAGAAGTGTAAACATCTTGGATTTAAATGAAGAAAATGCATGAGGACTTACAGAGAAAATTTTAAACATCATTAAAAGATATAAAAGATCCCAATAGGCAGAAAGAAATACTATGCTAATTGGTGGAATGATAACACTGTTGCGCTCATTCACCTCAAATTAGTCATTTCTGAGATGGTAGGATTTGACTTAAGATAAGGTTCTACAATATCTTATGAGCTACTGCACTCTATCTACAGATTTTAGAAGCCATTATCACTCAAGGATCAAGATCCCTCTCCCTAACTCTGACATAAAGGCTTTACTCGATTTTCTGCAGAAAAATGGCTAACCTGCTTGCTACTACTGCTCCTGTCTCTCTGAGTTTTCCCAATGAACACTGCTCTAACAAGCCTTATATGCCTATTTTACCTTGCTTGCAGGATACACACCTACATACATACATATATATAAACATATTAAATATATCAATATAAAATTTTAACATCATTAAAAAGACACTAGGGTTCATCAAAGAAAAGAAAAAGTTCTGCAGCTATCAGTACTGTCTGAAGTCTAAAGGCAAATGCTAATTTCACTTCTCAAATGGTAAACATATTTTAATGTATATTTAATATCTTTTAAAATTCCAACCTGCAATGTTTTTAAGCGTTTATTAAGAGAGAACTCATCAACTTCCAGAATAAAAACTTCTACTGCCATGTACAGCTTCTGTTGTACTTCATTTCTTTCGGCAATCAAAATATTCCCCTCAATCTGAAGGAAGGAAAAAGGCAATATCCATCATTAATATATTAGGTGTTTTTACACACTGACCTATATGAAAAGAACTGATCTCTTAAAACTAGCAAAATGTAACATTACATTCTCCAACACAGTAATATCTAAGATAAACCCCTCTCTTAGATCACCAAACTGACAAAGTTTGTTTCCCTTAATTAGAAATAAGATTTAAATCCCACAATTCTGCTCTGTTACAGTCTTTACTTTTCCAAAACAATAAAATTTTAGTTAAGAAAATTATACAAGTGTCTGTGACTAATTACATACTGCCTCCTTTCTACTCCCACCCCATGCTCAATTCCTTCATCTATTTATCTTTCAAGATTTAGTTAATCTCCAACAACAGGATAAAACCTTCAATTCCCCCAAGAAGCTATGCCTGGAAACAGATAATGAGAGATATCCAAGAACCCTATGCATTAGCTCTATTATAGCTCTTAATAAACTATATTAAAACTACCTATTTATATATTTGTCTTATACCCGAAGTAGATAGAGGGATAGGACCACATCTTAAATTTGTGTCTCTACTACTTGTAACAGAGGTACATACACTTAAAAGTCCAAACTTTAGAATATTCTTTTTTGTGTAAGCTCAACCAGACCTTTATATAACTAATTATGAAGACAAAAGAGAAGACTCTCTTTCATCAAAAGTACACATGGCGGGCTTTTCTGGTGGTTCAGTGGTAAAGAATCAGTCGGTCAATGCAGGAGACACAGATTCAGTCTGGGAAGCATGCCATGGAGCAGCTAACTAAGCCCGTGTGCCACAACTATTGACCCTGTTCTCTACAGCCCAGGAAGCACAACTACTAAAGCCCCGGTGCTCTATATAGCCTGAGCTCCGCCACAAGAGAAGCCACGCATCACAACTAGAGAGTAGCCCCCATGTGCCAGAACTGGAGAATTTGTGCAGCAATGAAGACCCAGCACAGCCAAAAATAAATACACAAATAAAAAACATTTTTAAAAGTACACATGGCAATCAAATTAAAGAATTGTGCAAAATATATAAATGAAAATAACAATCTTAAGATGCAAATTAAATACAACAAGGGAAATAAAAAGACATCTTTATCTGAGGGACAATCATGCCTCTGTCCTTAATAACCTATAGTAATCTACTCTTCAACCTGTCAAATGAACTATAGGGCAATAAAGCCCAAAATTAAGTCCTGAAATGTTAGCAGTAGTGGAGACAAATTGCTTTAAAAAAATCATATGTGTCCTACTAGAATACCAAATCTGACAGACATAATAAGACCTTTTTCCCTCCATGTCCCGAATCACTTTCCTATTTTCAAATGACAAAAGTTAAAAAGCAGTTCTTTTTCAATTTTCATCTTACTACATGAAAATAATTGTGAAATATTTTAATGATGGCAGTATGGTTTAAATGGAAATAGACTACACTTTGCAATCAAAACATCTGGCTTCAAATTCCAGATTAACATTTAGAAGTATGTAATCTTGAGCAATTTCCTTAAACCCTGTGGGCCTCATTTTCCTGAGGAGCAAAAATGCCCATGTTTATAAAGTACCTATACATACGTGTTTCTAAAAGATTCAAAAATTATTACTTCTGTCACCTTTTGTTGTCTATCATCACAAGTGACCAGTAGAGGCCTCATGTGTAAAATAACCCAAATCTAATTCCCTAACCAAATTAAATATTCCTGGCATTTCCAAAGGCTTAGTTACCCTATTTACTTTTCTCATTCAGAGCCAGTTAAGCTGCCAACTGGCCAAACTAGGTATGACTAGGGAATAAGACTTTTAGGGTACAATCTTCAGAGGCAGAAACCACCAATACTTAAGATAGGACAACTCCAAACCCAAGTATAGAGCTCATAGGTACTATGGAAAGCTATGATTATTGTATCAGATATCTTATATGAAAAACATGGAGTTCCACTCAGCTGAGTATAATAAATAAAACTCCCACAGGAAAAAATAACCTACACTACCTACACTAATTTGTACCTACACTAATTAAGAATTCACATGAAATATTCCATTCTTCATATCCCTTCCCTACCCACATATAAAGAAAATGAAAGGAAAGCAAAGTCACTCAGCTGTGTCCGACTCTTTGCGACCCCATGGACTGTAGCCTACCAGGCTCCTTCGTCCATGGGGATTTTCCAGACAAAGGCACTGGAGTGGATTGCCATTTCCTTCTCCAGGGGATCTTCTCTACCCAGGGATTGAACCTGGGTCTCCCAGATTGCAGGCAGACGCTTTACCGTCTGAGCCACCAGCGAGGCACCCCCATATAACCACCTTTCAACGGATGGTTAAGAGGGCATTTACCAGCAAGGCAGAGTCCTACACTGTAGCATAAAGCATGCCCTCCCACCAGAAGACCCACATTAGCAGGTGTGGGAGTCATTCCAGCTTATAAGCCTCATGCCCCGCAAAAACCATTCTCTTATAGGTACAGCTTCCAGGGTCCCTCAAGGAGTATGCCCAGTTGTTTAGTATTTGTAGTTCGGAGTTCCTCCTAATCCAGATACAATTTATCAATCAGGGATTTTATTTACCTGAACAATGTTGCCAGTAACATGACTGAAATTTCAATTTATCAAATTACCAAAGGAACAGAGAGAGGTAAATTCTCAGACAAAAGGGGAAAAGATTTTGTTAACCCTTTTCCACAATCACTACTCATTTATCTTACCTTTCTTCTAAGGCAACGAAAGAAATCAAATTACTAATATGAAGATACTCCAAAAGTTAAAGATTTCATGTAAAGTATCATTACAATATCTGCAGTCCTTCTGCTTTTTTTGAAAGATATTATCTCCTTATATTCAACAGATTAAAAATAATAATGGAGAAAAATTCTTGACGCACCACATTCTCACAAGTTTGAATCTTCTCCTGAGCCAGATTATATTCTGCCCAAATTAGCTCTAATTCATTCAAAGAAGCTGGGATAGTAAAGCAGTCTTCAGCCAACACTTGTATAGCATCTGAAAGGTCAGTTCCAAAACGAACACTGATACTGACACGTCTATTTAAAAAAAAAAAAAGCAAAAGGAAAAGATCAAGAAATGTTTAAGGTGGTGTGAGAAAAAAATTACACAAATAGTAATTGTCAAAAGTTACTATTTATAACACTGGCTATGAAGAGGTATTTTCTAAAACTATATAAAATCATAGATAACTTCGATACAAACCTTTAAATAAAAATACATTTCACTGAGAAAAAATTAAATATTTTATATAAAAAGACAGCTTCAAAAGTGCAGAATTCAAATGATATAAAATTAGATTTGTAAATACTTCTTTAAAAATGTTATATTTAAGACAATTTTATCAAGATCAAGGCACAGAGTCCTTGAACCTTAAAAAGCAGACCAGCATTTGCATAATCTTAAAAAAAAATCCAAAAAATAAAAAAAAAAAAACAACCCCCCAACAAAGCAATCAGAGAGGCCAATTAGGAAAACCAAAGCTCACCATTGTATTTGTTTTAGCTTCCAACTAGAATTCCACCATTCTATTAGTACACTATTTCCTTAAATACAGGTCAAAATATATTGAACTGTTTTGGTCTGAAGTCTGTCTCACAGCTCTGCCAGTGTAGTCACTTTGGCTGTGCACTAAAAGTTGATTAACCTCTAGAGAGACCAGATTACTCAAAGTATTTAAAACCTATAAACCAGATGCTGACTGACAGATTTATACCAGAAAATACAGATTCCCACTGGACAAAAGATGAACATGTAGTATTAACTGAAAGCAACATCTTAGTGTTTCCAAGTACGTGAGGCAATGAATTACTGGTTTAAGTTTTATGCATAGCAAAAAAAGAGAACTAGATTGTTTTGAAAACTATTTTTTCCACACTCCAGAAAAGGGTGAAAAATTATCCCTAACCAACAATAAAGCAATTTTCTATAAAGTAAAATACCTACATAATTCACATATAGAATCTGTGACATGCTGTTTAAACTGCATGAGTCTTGCTAAAGAATTTCTTTTCTTCTTACTCCATGAAGATCATTTTTCTTCTAATTTAGGAAGACTACTTTTGTCTTTCTTTATACAGAGTATAAATAAATAATTTGGATTACTGAAATCTATAGTTTCTGTATAGGACTGAAAATAACCCCAAGCAAAACAATGGGACCTAGTAATTTTCCTTGAAACTATTACTTAGAAGTTGTGTTGACTTTTTAATTCCATTCTCATATATAACTTTAGGACACTATCATCCCACATGGTGACAACAGAACACTATAAAAACTTTATAAAATTTGTCTCAGGATTAACTATCTTTAGTTTCCCTCTTTAAAATAATGAAAATACAAAGAATAAGTTTCAAAGTAAACATGAAGTGGGAGAGGACATGGATAAACCTATGGCTGATTCATGTTGATGTTTGGTAAAAACCAATGCAATAACTGAGCAAGTGTGTGTGTGTGTGTGTGTGTGTGTGTGTGGTAGAAACCAATGCAATAACTGAGCAAGTGTGTGTGTGTGTGTGTGTGCTTAGTGACTAAAAAAACAACAACTATATACATATATATGTGTATATGTGTGTGTGTGTGTGTGTGTGTGTGTGTGTGTGTAGAGAGAGAGAGAGAACCAGGAATAAAACCATCAACAGTAGCCACCTAAAAAATTAATTTAAAAAAGAAAAACCAAAAATGAAAGGCATAGAAATTAAACAAACCACAAACTAATCAGCATTTGTTTTAAACCATCCTCAAAAATATGCTTTTACCTACCTAATTTCTTTCAATATTTCAACCTTAGCTGCCAGATTTTTCATTCTGGTACCTATATAAGTCTTCAGAGTGCTCTCCAAACGTTTAGTCAAATCCATGGTAGTTGCTTTCTCTTGCTGAAGCAAAGAACAAACATATCTTAGTCAGACTCACATAGGAAACTGTATTTCTACTTTTATTTAAATAACTTTAAGGTGTAACTAAAATTTTAAAGGATTTATGAGGGAGTGTTCCCTGAAGAATGCCACATATGAATTCAGAGGCTGGAGATTGAGTTCAACTACCCCCAATGGTCAACGTCTTAATCAGGCCCAAGTAATGAAACCTTGACTTAAAAAGAACTCAGAATGATGAGGTCTGGGGAAGCTTCCAGACTGGTGAACAAATCCACATGCTGGAAGAGTGACAGGTCCAGAGAATCCTCCAAACAGATCTCCATCTCCACTCCCATTGTAACTTCCCTTTTGCGTCTCTTCTTTTTGTATTTGGCTGTTCCTGAATTGTATCCTTTATAATAAAACTTTCACTATACGTACAGCACTTTCATGAGTCCTGACAGTTCTTACTGAATTACTGAATTGAGAGCAAGGTGTAGGAGTGGATCATAGAAAGTCTTAAACTGATAAGAAAGTTTTCTTTCTTAAAGTCAGAAAAAAGTGTGGGTAGCCTGGGACCTGATTTGTGGCTGGTGCCTAAATTGAGCTAAATCTTGAGGGACTTAATCCTTGTGGAGTCTGAGATAACCCTTGGCATTTAGTGTAAAAAATGAACTGTAGGCCATTCAGTTGATGTTAGAGAAATGGCAACTCGTGTTGGGGTAACATATTGGTATTAGAAAATGTTATACATTTGAAGACTACACAGTATTCTGGGGTGGGGTGGGGGGAACTGCCCTCAATCTGAGCAAACCTTGATACTTAACTATCATAAAAGGAAATACATGGAGATATAGCAGCCTGTTAAGCAACAATAGGATGCAGATGAAGCACTTCAAGAGATTTATCAAGCAAAATGCAATGTATAGGCCTAACTGGAAATCTGATTGGAAGAAACCAAACATAAAATGACATTCATGGAACAATATGGGAAATCTGAACCCTGGATATTAAATGATATTATGGGCTTCCCTGGTGGCTCAGCTGGTAAAGAATCCTCCTCCAATGCGGGAGACCTGGGTTCAATCCCTGGATTGGGATGATCCCCTTGAGAAGGAAAAGGCTACCCACTCTAGTATTCTGGTCTGGAGAATTCCATGAACTGTATAGTCTGTGGGGTCACAAAGAGTTGGACACTACTGAGTGACTTTCACTTAGTGTGAACATAACTTAGTGAACTTAGTGAAGGGATTATTACTAATTTTTAAATGTAATTGTATTATGGTTATGTCTCTTTTGAATTTCTTTTCTATTAGAGATACACAATACATTAAAGCATATACATTAAACTATTATGAATGGGATTTATTTTGAAATTACTAGGAGGCATAGATTTTTAAAAAGACTGTTTAATAACAGTAAACACTGGGTGATAGATACATAGTATTAATTACTCAATTCTCTTCTTAAAATGTTTGAAAATTTCCAGAGTTAAAAAAATTTAAAGAACATAAAAGGAAATATAAATGAGAAATTAATAATCTTTCAAACATCCAATGAAATCTAAAGATCATTAGTTTGCAGCATAAGAAAAAATTTCATCTATAAACAAGTATGAAGAAAGGAGGAGAGAATAAAGAGTGGGGAGAAGAAGGGAAGGAAAGAAAAGGAGACAGAAAAGTACAAAGACAAATAAGAGCAAATCAGAGCTTCCCTGGTGGTCAGGTGGTTAAGAATCCACCTGCCAATGCAGGGCACATGGGTTGGATCCCTGGTCCATGAGGATCCCACATGCCTCAGTGCAACTAAGACCATGCACGACAATTACTGAAGCCTGTGCACCTAGAGCCCATGCTCAGAAACAAGAGAAGTCACTGCAATGAGAAGCCTGCGTGTCGTCAGCTAGAGAGTAGCCCCGCTTCTCCCAACTACAGAAAGCCAGTGCACAGCAATGAAGATCCCAATGCAGTCAAAAATAAATAAATGAATAAATCTTTAAAAAAAAAAGAGTAAATGAACACAATGATTTCCCAGTTGATCACTCTTTATCTTAAGCCACTGAAGCATACCATACCTTCAGCTCCTGAGCAGTCTGTTCTACTTTCAATTCTAACGCCTTGCACCTTTCAAGAAGAACCTCCTTCTCTGTTTTAAGTTTTTCATTTTCTTCAATCAGTTTCTGGTCCTGCTTAATTTTCGCCAGGCTGACATTAGACCCCAAATTAAAGTCACTGACAACCAAATTTTCCCTATTAAAAACAAATTCACTCATTTTAAAAACCAAATTGTTTTAAGTGGGACAGAAATCAAAACTTAAAATTTGGCTTTTTATACCATAATATATGTGTGTGTGTGTGTGTGTGTGTGTGTGTGTATTTATGCATATATAAAGTTAATTTTGGAAACTCATCTATACCTAGTTTCAACATTAGAAAGCATTTTAATGCAAGCTAGATTTTATAACTGAAGTCATACTTCAAAACAATGCCTCCTAATTCAGAGAAATCATATTCCAACTTTTTCATATCAGTATCAACTCCAGCAAAGACAGTAAAAAGCATTTCTGTATCAGTTTCTTCCAACCTCTCCTCATTACCCCCACTCCATTTGACTGTTTAGTTCCTAAAGCACTGATAAGGTCCCAACAAAAAGCTTTACTACCCATGACATGGTATCATGGGCCAGATCATGATAAAGAAGTAAAAGGATGGTTTTGTACTTAAAAAAATCAAATCTGGCTTTCTGCTTCAAGTTTATAACTAAAAATTATCTAAAAAGTGAACATTTTTTGTTATAATCAAATTCCATCACAGTAAATTTTCACAGGAAGAAAAGAGAGCCTCTCTTTTGTTAAAGAGAAAAGGCAATTCCCTAAAACTCATTAAAATATTCTCAGAGCCATAGGAAAAACCTCAAAATTTATCTGAAATTCTGTCTCTTGCCTGAATAATTTAGATTTAGGAGTAGATTTTTATGATAAATGTATTCAAAAGACGTGGAAAGAAGAGTTGGTATGTGAACTTCAAACAATTCAGGGATGATTTTTCTTTCAAAATGGCTTTTAATTAAAATATCCCTGTTAAAAAGGAATTTTTTTTTCAGTGTGTTAGAGAAGAATACTGGTTTGAGAAAAACAGAAATAATCAGTATCATCCCTCAAAATCACTGACATAGTTGAGGACTCTAAAAACATAAGCCTTGACAACTATGACAAGAACTTCTAACATAAATCAAAAATTAGGTTAAGACTAAAAATCCCACTACAATCTTACTTTGGATATGTCACATTATTTCCTGCATCATTTTCATTCTTCAAGTCAAGAGACATTCTCCCACTTAAGCGCCCCTTTGGCCGGGTGAAGGTTGATTGGCTTGATCTATGCCCCCACAAAGGAATGGGGCTTTTGAGGTTCCTGAGGACAAGCTGACCAGGATCTGATTTTTTTTCCTCACAGATATTAGTGCTGGAAGTGAGTCTGTACTTTTCTGCAAATCCTTTCTTAGCCACCTCTTCCCCAATATCTACATTGCCATACTCAGCCTGAGCAATTACTGTTCCATCTTGATAGATAGCTTTAATTCTCATTTTAATTTCCTTTTCAAAAATCAAGCTCCCCAAAAAGGTTCTGCCCTAAGAAAGATAAGAAAAAAGAAGATATTAACCAGCTATACCAACATGTTTTTCTTCACTTATTTTTTTCTATTAACATCTAGTTTTTCCAATGATCATTATTTCTTCAAATCTCTACAAAAGTGCTTTTACCTTGTTGGCTAAATACAAATATACTTCCTCATGTGTATACTATACTCCAATTACATATTTCATAAATCCTTTCCAGAAGAAGAGCTAAGACCTGTACAGGCATCTATATTTTTAAAGTGTACCAATTAAATACCCTAGAATAATCTCTTTAAATCAAGCAGATTCTGTTGACCATTTTGGTCCTAACTAAATATAAAGGTGTCCTGAGGAGTTATAGCATGTAAAAATGAAATCTGGTATCTAGGAAAAAGGGGAAAATGTAGAAGCAGCGACAGATTTTCTTTTCTTGGGTTCTAAGACACTGTGTATGGTGACTGCAGCCATGAAATTAGGAGATCCTTGCTTCTTGGAAGGAAAGCTATGACAAACCTAGACAGTGTATTAAAACGCAAAGACATCACTGTGCTGACAAAGGTCTGTATAGTCAAAGCTATGTTCTTTCTAGTAGTCATGTACAGATCTGAGAGTTGGACCATAAAGAAGGCTGGGAGCTGAAGAATTGATGTTTTTGAGTTGTGGTGCTGGAGAAGACCCTTGGGAATCTCCTGGATTGCAAGGAGATCAAATCAGTTCTAAAGGAACTAAATCCTGAATATTCACTGGAAGGACTGACGCTGAAGCTGAAGCTGCAACACTGTGGCCACCTAACGCGAACAGCCGACACACCGAAAACCCGGTGCTGGGAAAGACTGAAGGTGAGAGAAGATGGCGGCAGAGACGAGCCGGTCAGACAGCATCACGTGACTCAACAGACATGAATTTGAGCAAACTCGGAAACAGTGAACAGGGAAGCCCATCAGGTCGCAGAGTTGGACACAACTTGGTAATTGAACAACAACACAGGTCTAGGTACAGAAATGTTTCTTATAAGTAACTATAGTGCAGACAAAACTACACCCAGTGACCTAAAAGATTCTAAAAACCAATCAAATAAGAGGCAAAGAGAAGGTTTCAAATTGTATTATTCCTCCTAGCACTAATTATTTTCACATAAGTCATTTGAGCTGCTGAATATAAAATACTTATCTGATTACTCTGCAGTGTAACATTCCTTCAATAGCAGTATCAGTTACCTAAAAGCATATCATTTTTGCACAGATTTAAAAGGAGGTAGGATTCCTGTTAAGACTACCACTGAAATTATGAGGTCTTCCAGAATCAGGATGCTAACCTAAAATTTAATGGAAATGAATACAAACTGGAATCTAGATTAACAGAAATGTCACTGTCAATTACTATGTTGAACAGTGTGAGCCTCTGCCAAGAAGATAAAATCTGATTAATTTACAACTCTGCTTATTTCAAATTTGTAATATTTACGACCTCAGCTAAAGATCACTTTTATACAATAAATATTTTCTCAAAAGCAAAAGATAACAATAATTATATGCATCATTCTCTCAACCATAAGAGACTATTCTTTGAAGTTTTCTCATCAGAAGAAACTATTTACATTTATTATATAAGTATATACACACAAACACCAGTCTTATCTGATCTAGAATGTGTATTCTAGCAAAGATGAGCACAAATATACTATTATATAATTGCTTATGAATTATTCCATAATTTCACATTTGTCACTAATTTATACAAGCTTTCATATTACAGAAAATTAATGGATTTTAACCATATTTTTTTTCAAGCACATAGTTTTCTCTCCATTAACAAAAATATTTTAAATCTGTGACTTGCCTGATCAAACTGGGTAACTTCTTGGCCAGAAGGAATCTGTAGTCCCCAAAGTCTATACTTTTTGGCAACACTAGAAAATTGCAGATCCAAAGGAATCTCTACTATATCCGATCGATTCAGAATTTCTGTATTTCCATAGTCAATATATCTCACCAGACACTGGAAAATAATAAGATAAATGCTAATACAGAACTTAAGTATCTAAAAAAAAAAAATCACATATTTGCTGCTTTCTGTTAATTACCTGTAAATCATGATAGGATTTTACCTGAAATTGTCTAAATGCATTCAGAAACAAGAGCTTCAGCAATATCCTCAAAATACTAGTACTAGTTCAGCTAGTACCAAACAGTACTATTTCCAACAGTACCATTTCTCATTTTGATTTTTTTAAACAATGGTATTTAAATAAATTCAAGTTGGAAACAATAAAATCTGAAAAGAAAGGCAAAGTTTTATGAAACTTTCTTTGATAAACTTAACTCCAGCTATTAGACCTTGGAAATGAATCAAATTCACCCTTTCCTCCAGCTCTATATCTATAAAAGGTAAAAAAGATAAATAGTTTATCACAAAGTCAAAAGCTATTTTGCCCTTAATTTAAAAAGTTAAAGCCAAACCAAGAGCAAACACAAAATATCATTTCCAGTTGTCAAACTGTGGGGAATAGGTCTATTTTACTAAGATAAATCATTACCTATGACAAGAATAAATCATGAGATTTTAAAAAATGTATTTGGAACATTACTCAAAGCATTTCATCTTACTTTATTGCACCAAGAACAATATTTACAAAATATTATATATTATAAAATATTTTTAAGTCCAGGAAAGCAGACATTTAAAAAAAATAGTAAAAGAAACCCTATAGAGATGTTTTTACACAGCCTGAGATGCCCAATTGCCACCAAACAACTATTTAGAATCCTATCTCCACAAATTCCCTTAAAAATATTCTGGAATTTCACAATGTAAAAGACAAAATAGTTAATGCAAAGAAAATTCATCACATTTAACCCAAGCACAAGAGAGAGGCAAGCAAGTCTTCACTATTAACAACATGCACGTCTACTAAGTAAAATAAAAACATAATTTCAAATCAAATGTTCTTCTTATACTCAATCTTAATAGAATAAACTTTAACTTACTCAGCAAGACTCAAACGTAATTATTAAGAACTAAAATACAAAGAACCAACTGGTCACCAAAAATAATCCACAAATTAGGTAAGGTAATCTATTCTTTGATAATCTGGGGTGATTATATGACAACTTAAAATCAGAAGAATATTTCTGAATCTAACTTTGACTTTTGTAAGCACTTCATTTTTTTTGTGCTCTGGGGGGAGATGTATGTTTTAATCAACTTACATGTTATTCAACCATATTTTTTAATTAATTAATTTATTTTAATTGGAGGGTAATTACAATACTGTAGTGGTATTCAACCATATTTTATACTACTATGAATAAGCAATGAAAGGCTAAATAAGCACCAAATTTTGGAATGAAAATAAATATTGCTCATGGCAAAAAAAAGTTGAACACTCATTCTTGCCTTTTCATCGTTGATGACTTTCAGTACTTGGCATCTGTACCAACATTTATCTTCAGAAAATAATCCACCATAAATCTACAGACAGAAAAAGAAAACAAAATTATCTGGCACTTTAATGAATAGTAATGCTAAGAAGATCAGCTCATTTACTAAGCACTTTATGTATAATAACTTATTTTATTCTCACAACCCTATGAGGCAGGTACTTTGTTTTCACCATTGTATGCCCCAAATCACAAGCTAGTAAGCAGCAGAACCAGTTCAAACTCAGGCAATTAACTTTAGAGTCCATCATATTATTCTGCCGCTCCAAAAAAGAAAAAAGAGAAGACAAAAAGCATAAACACTGAAAACTCAAAAAAAAAAAAAAAAATTGACAAACAAAATTATTTCCAAATGCTGACAGTGTCCCCTGAGGGTGGAAATGGGAGATACAAAGTCATCCCAAGTTGATAATTACTTTAAATCATACATTCTTAATGGGAGAATGGGAGAAATAATATCCCTAAGGGAGTGAATATTGGTTTCTGGAGTGTGGAGAAATCTTAGATATTACAGTGGTTTGTAGCCCTCCCAAGTTCAACCCTACCTGACAAGATAAATAGACATGCAGTGTGTGTTAAAATGTCTTGCAGAGAGGAGACCCACTGGCAGGAAAAGTACCTTAGAAGGGCAAAATGAAAAAAAGGATTACTTTGTATTCTAAAATAAGGATCTACCACAATCCATTAATTATTCCAGTATTCGTAACAGTTAAGAAGGTGGGCTCTGTAAGTTTAAATATTTGATCCACCATTAACTAGCTGGTAACTTTCATAAAGTTATTCTAGCTGTGTCTCAATTTCCAAAAAAAGAAAAAACAAGTATCTGCCTCACAGGGCTGCTGTGAGGATTAAATAATTTGGTACAAATGAGTGAGGATTAAATGAGTTAGTAGCAAAGTGCTTAGAACACTGTCTCTGTCTCACGGAGGGTAAGACTCAAATGCTAGCTATCATTATCATGACTACTACTACTACTGTATGTATGAAATGATATTTAGCTAATCTCCATTTTTGCCTATTACAAATAATGCTATACTGAATATCTTTGTACAAACATCTTTGTGTACTTCCTGTACTTAAATGTCCAATGGGTAAATTTTTGGTAGAGAAGTTGATGCGTCCATGATTACAGGCATTTCCTGTTTTGGAAAAGATGATTAACACTCATATATAGCCATCTGATTTAAAACAAAGATTCCAATACAATTCAACAAAGAAAGGATCATCATTTCAAAAAACGGGGCTGATATAATTGAATATTCATATGGAAAAAGATCAAGTGTGATCTCTACTTGAAATCAGGGGCTTCCCTGATAGCTCAGTTGGTGAAGAATTCGCCTGCAATGCAGGTGACCCTGGTTCAATTCCTGGGTCAGGAAGATCTGCTGAAGAAGGGATAGGCTACCCACTCCAGTATTCTTGGGCTTCCCTTGTGGCTCAGCTGGTAAAGAATTCGCCTGCAATGTGGGAGACTTGGATTCAATCCCTGGGGTGGGAAGATCCCCTGGAGAAGGGAACGACTACCCACTCCAGTATTCTGGCCTGGAGAATTCCATACACTATAGTCCATGGGGTCACAGAGAGTGGGACATGACTGAGCTACTTTTACTTTTTACTTCAAATCACAACCAAAAATTTATTGTAGATAAACACCATAGGCCTAAAAGCAAAAACTTCTGGGAAAAAACAAAATTGGAGAATATAGTCAAGGCCTTGGGGTAAGTAAAGATATCTTATGTTGGAAACAGAAAGCAGAAGCCAGAAAAGAAAAATTAAACAGATTTCAAATGCTATTAACAAAGTGAGTAGGGAAGCCATGGACTAAGACATTGGCAATACGTGTAAGACAAAGGGTTCATTTCCAGAACCTATAAAGAACACAAGCAGTTGCCCTTGGCATCCACAGGGGACTGTTTCCAGGACCCCCCCTCAGACACTGAAGTCCCTTATATAAAATATCAGAATATGTTTACATAACTTTCACACATCCTCCCATACAATTTAAAACATTTCTAGATTACCTGTAACACTTAACACAATGAAAATGCTATGCAAATAGTCACCAGTATGTGACAAATTCAAGTTCTGCTCATTGGAATTTCCTGAAAAATTTTTGGAGTGTTTCTAACCTGCAGTTGGGTGAATTCATGAACCTGGAATTCATAGATAATGGAGGCCCAACTGTATAGAACTTCCTATAAATCAATCAAGACAAATAACCTTGAAAACTGGAAAAAGATCTAAATAGGTACTTCACAAAAGATATCCAAATGGCTAATAAAATTTGTAAAACTTGAAGAGCACGCTTAAGCTCAGATTCCTAAGGTAAATAAAAGCAAAATCACAAAATAACATTACACACCCACCAGAAATGGCTACTATTAAATAGACTGACAATGTAAAGGGTTGGTGAGGACACAGAAGAACTGGAACTCTCAAACTTTGCTGCTAAGGATGCAAAGTGGTTCAATGCTCTGTCAAACTGACTGGCTGGTACCTACTAAAGTGAAAGACACCTACTCTGTGACTTGGCAATTTCACTCTTAGGTATATACACAAAATAAATTAGTTAAAACATCCATCAGAAGTCTTGTATAAGGAGTTCACAGCAGTTTCATTCACAGTAGCCAAAAACTACAAACAATCCAAATGCCCAGCAAAGGAGAAGAGATTAATTTTGGTGTATTTTATACATCTGGGCTTCCCTGGTAGCTCAGATGGTAAAGAATCTGCCTGCAATACAAGAGACCCAGCTTTGATCCCTGGGTCAGGAGGATCCCCTGGAGAAGAAAATCCCAACCCATTCCAGTATTCTTGCCTGGAGAATCCCATGGACAGAAAAGCCTGGCAGACTACAGTTCATAGGGTCTCATAGAGTTGGACAAGACTGAGCAACTAGTATTTTCACTTTCATACACTGAAATACTGCATAGGTTGTAAAAGAACAAACATACAATAATATGGATAAATCTCAGAAATTATGTGGAACAAAAGAAGCCATGCATACACAAAAGAGTATATATATTGTGTAATTTAAGAATAGGCAAAGGAACCTATGGGGACAGAAGTCAGAATGATGGTTACCTCTGTTAGAGGACTACTGACTAAGAACCGACTGAGACGGCCTGAGTGAACTTTCTAAGCCGACAGAACTGAATCTCCATCTGGGTGGTGATCATAAAGATGCATACATGTGAAAAACTCATCAAGCTGTGTGCTTAAAAGACACATGCTGCACTGTAAATTATGTCAATTTAAAAATACATGCACATATATATATTGTCAAACTGTTCTCCATAAACATATCTCTTATAAATTTTTGTGAATCAGGGTCAAGAACAAGGATTCTATTATGTTCACCACCATTCTATTCTTTCACCACTGTGTTAAGCAGCAGTGTTTAACACAGTGTCTGGTAGATAGCAAATAGTTCATAAGTATTTTTGAAAAAATAAATTTATAATGACTGTAGCCTATACAAATTCTAAAAACATGCCTCTTTCTTCAAATATAACAAAAATTCCAAAATCTATAAAATCTAAGATCAGGAAAGCTAATAGGAAAGATGGAATAATTGTATCCAAGAATATGGCTCACCTTCTTTGGATCAAGATTCCCAAAAACTGAATTGGCAAGGGGACAGACTTCAGACAGTGAACAACCAATCTTCATAATATCCTTATTTCTACTGATACTCTAGAAGGAAGGACAGACACAAATTCAGTAAAATATTATTAATACTTGCAATGTTATGCCAACAAGGCTTCCACTATGCATGATACTTAAAAGATTTTGGGGCATTAGAAATTAAATAAATTCTCACATCATTACTTTTCCTCATTCAAATGAGTTCTTTACTAGAAATGGAACTAGGCTATAGAAAATTTTTACCTCCCAAAGAGTTCAAATTACATGGAATTCAAAATTAGATACTAAATATTATTAATATCATATGAAGAGATAACTTTGTCTCTGGATTTTACTTTAGATGAAATCCTAATTGCTCAAAATAAGTACCATATTTTAGTCAAGTAACATGGGTCTTCTCACATATTTGTTGTTGTGTAAAGGAAAAAGATGTAAAACTGATTTCAAAATGTATAGGTTCCTCTACATAAACACTGTTATCCACTTAGTAAATTTATTTCTCACAGGTGCATGGGTTAACAATTTTGAAACTACTTTAGATGTATACGAGGATTGAACAAATAAGTAAATATATTGTATATAATGAAAGCGGGCAGAAAGAAATAGGGAAGCCAGGCTAGAATGAACCTGCAATGTTAGATTACAATTGCAACATATCAGTAAGAATTCATGTATATATACACACATATGTATACAAGCACACATGTTTATGTGTGAATATATGTATATATGAAAGAAATGCACACAGATAAATATAGATATGCACATGTGTTAGTTATATGTATTTGTATTTTTGTATTATATTGATAAGTGTATTTCCTAGCTCTGTCTGCTAAGAGGAACTAGAAGCAATAATACTCAAGTAGTGATAAGCACACCTAGTACCCAGATCTTGATTTCTAAACACCATTCTCTGATAAAAGGAACAAGATTTCTTTGGAGCATGGGTGATTCCAGGGCTAGGACAGGGAAATAAATGATGATCCTGGAATATCTGATGATGCCAAAAAGTAAAGAAATACTCAAAAAAAGAATGGGTGTAGCTTAAATGATACAGTAGTCAATGTGAACAATCTCCTAATGGCCTAAGTTGGAACAATGTAAACAACAAAATAAATGACAGTACTAGATTATAACCCACAGGTTTATATCAATATAAATAATTGACTAAACAAATAAAAGGTGGTGAGGAAACAACTCTTCCTTAATGAGTAATTCCCATTAATAAATGCAGAAGGAATGAGGAAAATAGAAAATCATCATCAAAGACCATAGTCATAAATAAAATATCTGTGGGTAAAAGTTTTAAGAAAAACAAGATTCAGTTCAGTTCAGTTCAGTTACTCAGTTGTGTCCGACTCTTTGCGACCCCATGAATCGCAGCACACCAGGCCTCCCTGTCCATCACCAACTCCCGGAGTTTACCCAAACTCATGCCCATCTAATTGGTGATGCCATTCAGCCATCTCATCCTCTGTCATCCCCTTCTCCTTCTGCCCCCAATCCCTCCCAGCATCGGGGTCTTTTCCAATGAGTCAACTCTTTGCATGAGGTCGCCAAAGTATTGGAGTTTGAGCTTCAGCATCGTCTCAATGTATCTTCTTCTAAAACACTCATTACTTACAAAAGGAAAAACAGTAACTTAACAATTAAGAATCATAGCAGTTATCCCCTTAACCAAGTGGATCAAGGTTAATATCACCAATAAAGAAATCTCTCAATATTAGAAGTCCTCAATATGACGTAATTCTAGTACATCACACTGTAGTATGCACTGTAGTGCTACCGGCCCTTCTGTATACTACTGCCAATGTTTTTATGAGAAACCATAAACAAATACAAACTGAGGGATCCTCTATAAAATAACTAACCAGTGCTCATTAAAAACGTCAAAATCATGAAAGAAAAAGTATAAAAGAACTACCAAATGTTGGATGAGACTAAGGATATATGACAACTAAATAAAATGTGAGATCTTGAAGCAGATCCTGGAATAGAAACAAAAAGAAAATAAGAAAAAAACTGGTGGAATTTGAATTAGGGCTGCACTTAAGAGCTACTAGTACTGTACCAGTGTCAATTTCCTAATTTCCTGACTGTGACCACTGTACTATGGTTATGTAAAATGTTAGAAACAAGGAAAGCTAAGTGAAGGGTATAATATTGAAAATAATTTTACAACTTTACTGTAAGTATAAAGTTATTTCAAAGTAAACCGTCAAATACATATATTCTTTAAAAATATGTCAATAACACAGTCAATAAGGCTAGAAAGAATATGATTATCTTCGATAAATGAAAACAAACTCTGAGTTTCTACACACAGTAAATATGTGACGTGAATTCAAACTGACCCCAAAACACACTGGAATCAATCTTTAATAATCCCCAGGAATGAGCTCTTTAAAGTTCAGAATACACCAAAACATTTTACATAATTAGATTTTGTAGGTATATGGGCTAGCATAAACGGAAGCTCTTTTTTCAAATGTCAAATACTTAAGATTCCTCCAACTGCTACTGAGCAAACTAGGCCTACTGAAATTTCCGAAGTGTTCTCAAGTAAGTGGCTTAAATGGCAGAAAATCCAAAGTGGTAGAAAAACAGAGAATACATGTGAGCAGATCTTCATCTTGACCTGCCTCCATTATATTTCTAAATCTCTATTCACTCTTCATCTACAGCCTATCAAAACCCTAATCAAATGTTATAAATAGCTTTTTTCCTGCTATATTCTTTCTGTAGAATTATTGTTTTATCGTTGCCTTTTCTGTTACACAGGCTGTACATATCAGGTGTTAAAAAGTACAAAACATCTTACAACTGAGCAGGGGAGGAAATTACACTGAAAATTAGCATCATGCAGCATTTTTCAGAAAAAAAAAAAAGGTGACTGAAGTGGGTTTTCAGAAAAAAAAGTGACTATTAAATTACATCTAATATTTGATACTATGAGATCCAATACAATTATACAAAATATGTTAACATCAAATAATAAAACCAAAATTCAGAGAGCAAAAAAGTCTTTTTCATAGGAAAATAACTCTTGAAGCAAGCATGTAACTGACCATTCTTTTTAAAGAAAATCCACTGCATGCAAAATTATCAACCTTCAGAAAAATCACACATACTAACTCTATTCTCACAAAGTATACCACATGCACACTTGGAAAACACAAAATTAAAACAACTGTAAGCAACAGGGTGAGCTTCATGTTTATAAGAATATGAAAAGTCCTTTCATGCTTAGCACTGCTATATAAAGAAATGTCTTTTGAAGTGAAATTCATGAAGTGTCCCCCTGTTGGGACCACACTTTACAAAAATACTGTGTTCTTGAAATGACCTGGGCTTCCCAGGTGGCACTAAATGTAAGAAACCTGCCTGCCAATGCAGGAGACATAGATGTGGCTTCAATCCCTGGGTCGGGAAGATCCCCGGGAGAAGGAAATGGCAACTCACTGAAGTATTCTTGCCTTGAGAATGCCACGGACAGAGGAGCCTTGTGGGTTATAGCCCATGGGGTCGTAAAAGAGCAGGGCAGGACTGAAGCTATTTAGCATGCATGTGTTCTTGAAATGAGATTACAGACTAAGAGCATCTTAGCAATGTCATCTTGAATTTTTTTAATTTTTAGAATTTTATCAAAACATATCAAAATTTCATCAAACATCAAAAGATGTCCCTTAGATGTATAGGATTCATTTAAAAAATTTTTTTCCTAGAAACAACATACAAAGGAGAAGCACAGTTATTCCCAACCATCCTTCTGGAAGATGTTTCCCAAGTTTGAGAAGGGTCTTCTCTTCTTACTGACTGTTTTTGGCCTTAGCATGTGTTAAGGTACAAGATTTCAGGTTAGTTGACTGAGGAAATCTATTACAACTGTCGAAGGGGCACACAAAGGGCCTGTCTCCAATATGGATTCACACATGTGTGCACAAACAATTTGTTTCTTGAAAAAAAAATCATCTGATTCATATGGACACTCTAGTAGTTTTAGTTCTTAATCTTTTCACTCAATTAAGACATGCTTTCTCTCTTTTTTAAATGTGTTTAAATTTCTACAGGGGCCTCAACTTCATGGTTGAAATCAGAGATTTGAAAATTATGAGTTCTGCTGTTTTGGTAAATAAAATTTTATTTACTGATATACCTATTTAGTTATATATTGTCTATGGCTGCCTTTGCACTACATGGCAGCTTTTGTAGAGCTGAACAGTTGCAAAAGAGCCATAAGCCTTAAAATACTTACTATCTAACATATACAGAAAAAGTTTGCTGACATCTGGTTTAAATCATAATTTCCAATTCAGGCTACAAATTCACATACATGTCAATAAAAATCAAAGTCTAGAGCTGCATTGACCAATACAATAGCAAATTCTTACTTGAAATGTGGCTCATCTGATTTAAGTTGTACTGTAAGTCTAACATATACACTGGGTTTTGAAAATTTACTACGAAAAAAGGAAAATAAAATATCTTGCTAACATACTTGTGTTCATTACATTTTAAAAAGATATTTAGGATGTTCTGAGTTACATAAAATGTTTTCATTAAAATTGATCTTGCCTGTTTCTTTTTCATTTTGAATGTGTCTTTTAAATTTAAATTACTTATATGGCTCAAATTATATTTCTACCAGACAGTACTGGTCTAGAAAATCTTAATTGAGATAGTAAATGTTGTTCCTATTTAATAAGCTTAAAAATATCATTTATCATCCAACACTGGACACTGCTGAGAGGGACGCAGGTGCTATTAATGCAGACACAATGGGGAAATGGGCAAAGAACCAGAACATGTGGACACCCTTTAGAAAATGTGTCCATAAGCCAAGATACAAATTTGTTGAACATTTTCTATGGATATCACACTTCTAAAATATGTTTTCTAAATAATTTAAGAAGTCTGAGTTAATCATATTTCTTCTTTAACCTTTCTTTTTCATAAATCCTGTTTCCCATATTGCCAATTCACTCTACCCACACAAAAAGGAGTTCTCAGGTTGCAGAAGTACACAGAAATGTTATTCCCTTCCCTCTCATATCACACAGCTCATAAAATTAAAAGTTACTGAGTAACTGTACATTAGAGAGATTCACCTTCTTAAATTCTGGAACATAAGCACTTTGGTGCTTCGCTTTCTATTTAAAATTGAGTAAACTTATTTGCCTTGAAGACTGCCAATATAAAATTATAAATGTTCTGTTAGTACTTTCAATTATATGATGAAAAAGATATTGTACCTCAAAAAAAAAAAAGATATTGTGCCTCAAATTCAAAATTAAACCAACAGAAAAAAGATAGAAAACAATATCACTTAAGAAATTTAACAGTATCGCTTGCTCCTTGGAAGAAAAGCTATGACCAAACTAGACAGCATAGTAAAAAACAGAGCCATTACTTTGCCAACAAAGGTTCATATAGTCAAGGTGATGGTTTTTCTAGTAGTCATGTATGGATGTGGGAGTTGGACTATAAAGAAAGCAGAGTGCGAAGAATTGAAGCTTTTGAACTGCAGTGTTGGAGAAGACTCTTGAGACGGCAAGATCAAACCAGTCAATCCTAAAGGAAATCAGTCCTGAATACTCATTGGAAGGACTGATGCTGAAGCTGAAACTCCAATACTTTGGCCACCAGATACGAAGAACTGACTCATTTGAAAAGACCCTGATGCTGGGAAAGACTGAAGGCAGGAGGAGAAGGGGACGACAGAGGATGAGATGGTTGGATGGCATCACCGACTAGACGGACATGAGTTTGAGTAAGCTCCAGGAGTTGGTGATGGACGGGGAAGCCTGGCGTGCTGCAGTTCATGGGGTCTCAAAGAGTCTGACATGACTGAGCCACTGAATGGAACTGAATCACTTAAGAAACAATTGCATCCAACACCTCTAGATGGAGCTGTAACTTCACAAATACAAGTTTCTCAGCATCTTCAGTAATTTATGCAGTCTAGATTGCTGATGCTAAATTAAGTGTAACTTTAAAACCTCACACTCATAATTCTGATATTAAGTTCAATTTTTAGCCATTTGTCTTCTAATAATGCCCTGTGTTAAATAATGTTCAATAAAAATTAAGCATGAAAAATAACAATGACATATATATATTACAGGGTTTCTATTTTCATTTTTGTTGGGGAGGATCTGGGTTAGTGGAGGAAGAGGTGGGAGAGGAAGTAAATCAGGCTACTGTTTTACCTGGGCCCAAAATGTTACTGCATCTTCCACATGACTTCCAACCACATCTTCAACTAAAATCAAATTACAATGCAAAGAAAATTAGAAATTAATCAACATCATCTAACTCTTACATACAAAAATAATTTTTAGTGTCAGTACCTTTACTGCAATGTTTATCTTCCTCCATTTGGACAATTCCTGAAAAACTAAAACAATTCAATACTTTGAATTAGGTTCTATTAATCAGGCCATTAACAGTGAATTAAAGACAAAACTATATAACGTTCAAATTCCTCTGTTTATGTTTTGTCCCAAATAAAGCTATCAAAATCCAAACTCTATATTAAAAACAACCTCAAAGATATTTTCTGCAATATTTATTTTGTTTTGAGTATATCTTGCAATTTCATCAGATGCAATTTCTATCTTTGAAATTATGTCTTTAATCAAACTTTTACAAATTTACACTGAATAGTATAATTGATGCACACTCTTTTCAGTTACATAAATATTTCAGTACAAAGTACATATTCTTTAAAATAATTGATGCCTTCCCTAAACAAGAGTAGTGGCTTCCCTGATAGCTCAGCAGGTAAAGAATCCACCTGCACTGCGGGAGTCACAGGAGAGGTGGGCTCAATCCCTGAGCTGGGAAGATCCCCTGTAGGAGAAGTGGAAACCCACTCCAGTATTCTTGCCTGAAAAAGTCCCATAAACAGAGGAGTCTAATAGGCTACTGCCCAAAGTGCTGCAGAGAGTCTAATACAACAGGGCAACTGAACACACATGCAGTAAACAAGAGTAGCACTCCCACAACCTAAACAAAAAGAAACACTACAAACATATATATATATATATATATAAAACACAAATGATTCAGACTAGGATTTAATTTTTAAATAAGGATATCCATGTTATGGTTTCTGCTTTTGAAGATACCTTGCACTTAAAAATTGCAAAATGAATCAAATTATGCCCATAACTCCAAAAATAATTTTCATTACATAATTTGCTTTCCCAAATGCAAGATATTTCAAGATGTCTACTAGTCCTAATTTTGCCCTTAGAACACTAGAATATGGTACTTTATATGCATAAATGTTAGGTTTTTTAAGGGAATTGAAAATAGATCTTTTAAAGAATTTTAAGAGTTAATTAAGAACATCACTACACCAAATCACCAAATCCTCCCCCAACCACAGGAAAAGTTGTTAATCTTGTGTCACACTAGGGGAAAGGTCATAAAAAATTTTAAACTTTTATGATTTTTGTTACTTCACATTTTTTCACATACACTAAGGAGGATCAACCCATCTTTAAAACAAGGATTCTTGCTCATATACTACTCAAAAGTAAATTTTAAATTGAGCAAAAAGTTGTAAAAACAAGTTAGAATCTGTCCAGAGAAACTTATTTCGCTGGAAGACACTGGCTTAAACTTAATTTAAAAGATGGGGGCTTCCCTGGTAGCTCAGCTGGTAAAGAATCCGCCTGCAATGCAGGAGATCCCAGTTTGATTCCTGGGTTGCGAAGATCCCCTGGAGAAGGGACCGGCTACCCACTCCAGTATTCTTGCCTCGAGAATCGCGAGAGTCAGACACGACTGAATGATTTTCATTTTACTTTTTTTCTTTCTAAAATGAAAATCTTTACTTTGGAAATGGCACCACACGATGTAAAAAGTTTTTAAATCATATTTTTAAAACGGGTCAAAGAGACTTTTTGGCAATGGTTAACACGAGAGTGGGGAAGGAAATGGCAAGCCACTCCAGTCTTCTTGCCGGGAGAATCCCATGAGCAGCGAAGTCTGGAGGGGGCTACAGTTCACCGGGAAGTCAGACATGACTGAGAGGCTTTGACACACTCACAAGAAGGGTGTGGTGCTGCACCCATTTTCTGCACTTCCAGTTCACATCGAGAATTCGAAGTGAGCCCAGGTCACTCCTCAACGCCTGTCTTAGCAGGTATTTCGAAGTTTAAAAGGGCACAGAATTTGCTGGGAGAGAGAATTCCACCCGACAACTGGTCTGCAGGTCTCCGCCTTCACCCGGAGCAGCAGGCCCAGGTATCTGCAGGCCAGCTTCGCCTTCTGGCAGCACCCTTGTCAACTGGGGTGACTGTCACCCTCAGATGCAAGCGGGCAGCTTGGAAACCAAGAAGGCCAGGAAACGGCCACGCCCATACTTGTGGACCTAAAAGACAACCCAGTGTGAAAATATAGTGCTACCACCACCGAACCCACCAAAAGGACTGCTACTGACCTCGCACTTCCTGCCACAGAAGTTCTAGAAGAACGCCCCAGGCCCCACATGCTGGGCCGTCAGCTCTCTCCCCGCCGCAGCAAACATGGAGACTTACCTCACGTGTTTGGGCCACTGGGTCTCCAAACGGCGCTTGCGCGCTCGTTGCTGTGCCAACATCCTGCGTTTGCTCAACTGCCTCGCTCACGTGAGCTTCAAGGGCTGCGGCCTAGGGCGGGGCGTGCCGGCTGGGGACATGCGCTCTGCGAGCGGCACACGGAGTCTGCGCACAGGATTTATATGACGGCATTCCCAGCACCTGTGGACTAATGGCCGCCTCGTTCAGCAAAACTTCAAACGGTGACGTGAGATAGTGGTGTGGATTTTTGTGTCCTTTCGTAATTTGTACATGTTGCTTAAAATTTTTAAATAGCCAAGTCGGAAGAATCCCAGCATTTTTTTTTTTCTTACAAGGTAGAAAGGAGAAAATGACTTTAGTACAATGAAAGCACGATGTTCAGGTTAGTAGCTTTACAAGCATTTCTCAGTCCAGCCTAGGGTCAGCTCTCGCTCGTGTTGCAGCGTTTTTCACATTAAGGGGGGCGGGGTGGGGGTGGGGAATCAATACAGCTTATCTGGTTGTGAGCAGATGTTACACTTTGTGGCAAACCTTGCACAACAGTTGAAAATTATCTCCACTAATTTTTGCCAGTTTGAAGTATTATGTACAATAATACAGTAGTAAAGTACACATGTTGATGACAGAACATATGTATGCTCTGTTGAAATTAACCTCACAATGAAAAAGACAGTCATTTCCTTCACAACCCCCCCACGCCCCCCATGCCCCCCACGGCCCTCGGAAGTTTCTTCATGTCCCTTTATGGTCGTTGGTTCCTGTCGAAGTAACAGATTATGCTTTCTGTCACCAGTTTGGATTTTCTAGAATTTCATGTTAACCAAATCATACAGTGTGTCCATTCTGTTTTCTTTCATTCAGCATAATTATTTAGAGATTCATCCATTTTGTCACATGTATCAATAGTTCCTTACTCTGTATTCAGTTCAGTCCAGTCTCTCAGTCATGTCCAACTCTTTGTGACTCCACGGACTGCAGCATGCCAGGCCTTCCTGTCCATCACCAGCTCCCGGAGTTTACCCAAACTCATGTCCATTGAGTTGGTGATGCCATCCAACTATCTATCCTCTGCCGTCCCCTTCTCCTCCTGCCTTCAATCTTTCCCAGCATCAGGGTTTTCAAATGAGTCAGTTCTTCATACCAGGTGACCAAAGTATTGGAGTTTCAGCTTCAACATCAGTCCTTCCAATGAACACCCAGGACTGATCTTCTTTAGGATGGACGGGTTGGATCTCTTTGCAGTTCAAGGGACTCTCAAAAGTCTTCTCCAACACCACAGTTCAAAAGCATCAGTTCTTCAGTGCTCAGCTTTCTTTAAATAGTCCAACTCTCACATCCAGACCTGACTATGGAAAAACCATAGCCTTAACTAAACGGACCTTTGCTGGCAAAGTAATGTCTCTGCTTTTTAATATGCTGTCTAGGTTGGTCATAACTTTCCTTCCAAGGAATAAGTGTCTTCTAATTTCATGGCTGCAGTCACCATCTGCAGTGATTTTGGAGTCCCCCAAAATAGTCTTTCGCTATTTCCACTGTTTCCCCATCTATTTGCCGTGAAGTATTGGGACCGGATGCTATGACCTTTGTTTCTGAGTGTTGAGCTTTAAGCCAACTTTTTCATTCTCCTCTTTCACTTTCATCAAGAGGCTTTTTAGTTCTTCTTCACTTTCTCCCATAAAGGTGGTGTCATCTGCATATCTGAGGTTATTGATATTTCTCCCAGCAGTCTTGATTCCAGTCCAGTGTTTCTCATGATGTACTCTGCATATAAGTTAAATAAGCAGGGTGACAATATACAGCCTTGACGTACTCCTTTCCCGATTTGGAACCTGTCTGTTGGTCCATGTCCAGTCTAACTGTTGCTTCCTGACCTGCATACAGATTTCTCAAGAGGCAGGTCAGGTGGTCTGGAATTCCCATCTCTTTCAGAATTGTCTACAGTTTATTTTGATCCACACAGTGAAAGGCTTTGGCATAATCAATAAAGCAGAAATGGATGTTTTTCTGGAATTCTCTTGCTTTTTTGATGATCCAGCGGATGTTGGCAATTTGATCCCTGGTTCCTCTGCCTTTTCTAAAACCAGCTTGAACATCTGGAAGTTCACGTTTCATGTATTGTTGAAGCCTGGCTTGGAGAATTTTGAGCATTACTTTACCATTACATTACTCATGTGTGAGATGAGTGCAATTGTGTGGTAGTTTGAATACTCTTGGCATTGCCTTTCTTTCCATTGATACTGGCTGTAGAGTTTTAGTAGATACCATTTACCAGTTGAAGAAATTACCTTCTATTTTTAGTCTGCTGGGAGTTTTTATGAATATGTCTTCAGTTTTATCAAATACTCCCACATCTGTGATAATAATCATGTGGTTCTTTTTAATTTGTTTATATAATAAGTTATTGTCACTAAGTTGTGTCCTACTCTTTTGGGACCCTATGGACTGTAGCCCACCAGACTCTTCTGTCCATGGGATTTCCTGGGCAAGAATACTGGAGTGGATTGACATTTCTTTGTCCAGAGCATCTTCCCCCACCTGGAAATCAAACCCTCCTCTCATGCACTGGCAGGCAGATTCTTAACCACTGAGCCACCAGGAAAGCCCAAATGATAAATTTGGGCTTGATAAATTATACTGGCTAATTTTCAAATGTTAAACCAAACTTGCAACCCTTCCATAAAACTTGGTCATGATGTATTATCCTTTTATATATTCTTGTATTAGATTTGCTAAAATATTAAGTATTTTTGCATCTATGTTCAAGAGGGATATAAGTCTGAAATTTTCCTTTCTTGTAATGTCTTTGCCTGGTTTGGTTATCAGAGCAATACTGACCACATAGAATGAGCTGTAAAAACTACTAACTTCAATTTTCTGGAAAAGTTTGCATAGAATTAGTAATCTTTGTTCCTTAAATATTTGGTAAAATTCACAGTGCAGCCATTCAGACCTGGAATTTTCTTTGTGGGCATGCCACTAACCACAAATTCGGTTTCTTTAATTGATAAAGTCTAATCAACATATAATCAATCTAAGGCTAGTCATCTATTAATTATTGAATGAACTTTACAGTTTGTGTCTTTTAAGGAATTTAAGCTGTGAAATTCATTGGCATGAATTGTTGATAACATTCCTTTACTATCCTAGAAACTATAGTAACATCACCACTCTTGTCCCTAATGGTGAATTGTGTGCTTTTTATCCTTTGCTGATTAATCTAGCTATTAATAGAGGTCTATCAATTTTTTCTTAAAAAAAAAAACTAAACAGCATTTGGTTTTATTTGTGTTTCTGTTGCTTTTCTGTTTTTTACTTCTGCTCTGATCTTTATTATTTCCTTTTTCCTATTTAATTTTAATTTTCTCTTCTTTCTCTAGTTTCTTAAGGTGAAAGCTGAGGTCACTGATTTGAAATCTTCTTTTCTAGTATAGGCATTTGTCACTATCAATTTCCCTCTAACTACTGCTTTAGCTGAATCACACATATTTTTATTTCCATTCTCATTCCATTAAGTGGTTTGATTCTTTTTCTGAATTCTTCTTCAACCCATGAGATATTTAGACATATGTTGTATAACTTTCAAATATTTGGCAAAGTCCCAGATATTGGGACATCTTTGTTACTGATTTCTAATTTAACACCATTGTGGTCAGAGGACATAATTTATTATCTGAATCTTAAAAAAGCACTGTGACTTGTTTTATGGTATAGAATGTAGTCAGTCATAGCAAATGTTCCATGTGCACTAACATGTATGATGCAGAGGGGTTCCAGTGAGCATCCCAAGCTACAGTGTCAGAGGATCTTTAGATAATACCACAAGAGAGTAATGGGCATGGTCCCAAGACAGAGTGCCATCAAACAACTTCCATGTGAAGCTGTCAGAAGCCTGCTTGGAAGTGTTTCACAGCAGTACTGGGGCTACAGGGGGGACCAAGAAAATTTGAAATGGCACCAGGAGGTGTGAATACAATTATCAATAATTTATAGTTGATGTGCATGCTTACTAAGTCACTTCAGTCATGTCCAACTCTTTGCAGCTCTATGAACCAGTGAAGTTGCTCAGTTGTGTCCGACTCTTTGCAACCCTATGGACTATAGCCCACCAGGCTCCTCTGTCCATGGGATTCTCCAGACAAGAATACTGGAGTGGGTTACCATGCCTTCCTCCAGGGGATCTTTCCAAACCAGGGATCGAACCCATGTGTTCTGCATTGCAGGCATATTCTTTACCATCCGACTCATCAGGAAAGCCCCTCATATTAACAAAACAACCTAAAAATCATCAGATACCACTAGAAAATAATTACATAATTTTAAAAGTTTTTATTTTAAAACAAATCAACATTACAAAGTTTAGAAAATAAAAAAACTAAGGATTTTAATTTAACTATTTTGAATGAAATGTTTGTTCAAACCCTCAATAACATCTTAAAATTTTTAAGTAGCCTGAAAAGGTTAAATTATTATAAATTCAAAATAGCTACTGTACTTTAAGGTTTTGACTAACATGAAAATAGCCTCATTTGTTAGGAGAGAGAAAAAAGTTTATATAGTAATAAATCATAAATTTTGGCAAAAGTAGCATAAGGTACTGTCATGTGTAAATAAGGAAACATTCAAAAGACCTTTTTACATAGAAAATATGTAAGTAGTTTGAGGAAAAATAAACTGTATTATTATGTTTAAATAATTAACACACAAAAGACATATTTGGATGCTGGTTTTAATTTCCCCAGTATCGTTCATGAAGGTTTCATAGTTGATGGCAGTGGTGCTTTTCCTTTCTGCTTAGCAGCCTTTTCCATTTTTATCTGAAAATTTAAAATATTTGTTGATATAATAATTTGTAAAACATCCTAAAAATTTAAAAAATGTGGTACATACCTCATTTGGATTCATGTCTTATTTATCACAGCCATTTTACACAGTTATTTAGCAGTTCTTATGCTGCTGAATACTGAAGCCACAACCTGATTGTTGAAGGGACCTAACTGCGTTTTTAAAATATGGTTTGTTGGGGTATGCAAGCTCCCAATCCCTCTTGCTCCTCTTTTTCTTCTCTTCTCTCTCAGAGCAAGGGCAGACGTCAGCAATGCCTTAGAGACAGAGAGAGTGGGCCAGACGGAGGGGAAGAGGCAGAGTCTCACTCACACACACACACACAGAAACATATACACACACAGAGCTCAGCACACAAGAGACTTGAGGAGTGTTGACTG